AGTATAATTGTGCGCATATTAATGAATAAATTGACTAATATCCTTTTAAGAATATCCCAACGCACATTGTAATAGTAATAGACGCATTTTAAATTATTTTGTTCCATGTATTTTAAGTTGTACATACACGCACACGCATGTTAAGTGTAGATGTAACACATATTAGAGCAATAAGGTCCGATAGATATGTACTTGGCATTGGAAATAATTGACAAGTCAATTTCGATGTCAGCATTTTTTCTATTTCCCATAATGGGAATCTGTTAAAGTTGAATGATCATTCAATCCTTAAAAAAACGCACCCATTATTATTTTTTTTTATTGGGTATAAGTCAGTGAGTGTACAATCTCATGCACACTAAGAATGATAGATGCGCATAATAAAGTGTTAACATGCGTATATTAATGAATAAATTGACGCATTTTCGTTTAAAAATCCTCCCACGCACATTCAAATATTGATATACGCATTTTAAATTATATTTGTTGCACATGTTAGGTTATACATACATTCACACGAATGTTAAGTGTAAATATAACGCATATTAGAGCAATAAGGTCTGTTAGATATGCACTTGTTATTGGAAATAAGTGACAAATCAATTTCGATCTCAGCAATTTTTATATTTCCCATAATGGGAATCTTGCGAAGTTGACTGGTCATTCAATACTTAAAAAATGCACCCATTGAATTGTTTTTTTATTGGGTCTAAGTCAGTGAGTGTACAATCTCATGCACATGAAGAATGAAAGACACGCATAATAACATGTTTAGGTGCGCATATTAGTGAACAAATTAACGCATATTCGTTTAAGAATACCGCATCGCACATTGTAATATTAATAGACGCATTCTGCTAGACTCAAAGTTGTCACCTACAAACATAATTAAAGAATTAAATATAGTAATAATTAAGAATTTGCTATTTAAACCCACCATTATGCTAGACTCAAATCTGTCACCTACGAACATATTTTTGCTTTTGTACTCTCCTTTTTACACAGATTTTTCAATGGCCGCTGAACTTCACTCTGTGATTGTTGGTAATCAACTTCGTGTAGCACTGCGGTGGAATACCATTAGGGTTCGAGTGCTTCGTGTTGTTCGTCTTCCAGAAACAAAAGGTTCTCAAACCATTCAATCTATAGAGTGTGTAGTACATGATGTAGAGGTATTTTTTTATTTACTGTAATATAAATCTTAATATTTTATATTTCTAAAATTTACTGTTGATGCATATGTTTTTTTTTTTTAATAATTTCAGGGAACTTTTATACATATGCATATTCCACAAGCGTATGTACAAAAGTTGTTCAACAAATTTGAAGAAGGCAAAGTTTATCTAATCAATAGATTTGACGTGGTTTATAATGCCTATAGAAACAAAACTTCTACTCTCAGGTATATGTTGATGTTTTGTGATAGAACTCGCGCAGGAGTGTTGAAAGATGCAGATTTCCCAACACATGTTTATGACCGAGAAGATTATAATTTCGATGAAGAGGTGATCTATTGCATACTTACATGTTTTCCTTTTTTTTTATATAATTTTATTGATGTATTTACAGTTTCCTAACTTTCACGATTTTATGGATCAACAGGTGCCTGACGCTCCGGTTGGAAATTTGGCTAATGAGGATTGAAATAATGAGGAGGCTGCTTAAGGATGAATAACGACGAATATGTCAAACATTTTATGTTTATTATGTTATTTGTTATATTTTATTCCTAAAATTTAGTTTGAATGAAATTTCTATGTCATCATTTTATGTTTATTATGGTGATCTATTATGTCATCATTGACGCATTTTCTTTTAAGAATACCCCATCGCACATTGTCATATTAATAGACGCATTTTAAATTATTTTGCTCCATATATTAAGTTATACATACATACGCATTCTAATAATGGAAAGGATTTAAAAATGGAAGAAAAATATTTCATTATATCAAAGATAAATTAAAAACGGAAAAAAATAAAAATAAAAATATTGAAAAATATTTCAATATATCATATATTAGTCGATGTAACGCATATTAGATCAATAAAGTCCGTTAGATATGTACTTGGCATTGGAAATAATTGACAAGTCAATTTCGATGTCAGCATTTTTTCTATTTCCCATAATGGGAATCTGTTAAAGTTGAATGGTCATTCAATCCTTAAAAAAACGCACCCATTAATTTTTTTTTTTTTTGTTTATTGGGTATAAGTCAGTGAGTGTATAATCTCATGCACACTAAAAATGATAGATACGCATAATAAAGTGTTAACATGCGCATATTAATGAATAATAAATTGACGCATATTCGTTTAAAAATCCCCCCACGCAAATTCAAATATTAATATACGCATTTTAAATTATATTTGCTGCACATGTTAAGTTATACATACACTCACACGCATGTTAAGTGTAAATGTAACGCATATTAGAGCAATAAGGTCCGATAGACATGTACATGGCATTGGAAATAAGTGACAAGTCAATTTCGATGTCAGCAATTTTTATATTTCCTATAATGGGAATCTTCTAAAGTTGACTGGTCATTCAATACGTAAAAAAACGCACCCATTGATTTTTTTTTTTTATCGGGTCTAAGTCAGTGAGTATACAATCTCATGCACATTAAGAATGAAAGACGCGCATAATAACGTGTTGACGTGCGCATTTTAGTGAATAAATTGAAGCATATTATTTAAAGATTAAGAATACCCCATCGCACATTGTCATATTAATAGACGCATTTTAAATTATTTTGCTCCATATATTAATTTATACATACATACGCATTCTAACAATGGAAAGGGATTTAAAAATGGAAGAAAAATATTTCAATAATAATAGAAAACGGATTCTTCAATGGTTGCATTTTATTAGGCGTCGAATAAGCAATTCATATTTATCTCAACCGCTAAAAAAACGCACTCATTCACGTACATTAAAATCGTAACTAACGCACACTAAAGTAGAAACGCACGCACCCTGTACGTTAATTGTGAACGTCAATTTATTTTTAAGTTCACTAAACGGTTAACATTGAATTTCTCCAATCGGTGAATTTTACCAAGTTATTCGCCTATAAAAGTGGAGTATCACCTTACCATACAACATACATATTGAAACGGTGTCATTTTAGTTTTACAGACCATCATTCATTCTTCGTCATTTTCTTCACATTCATTATGATGTTTACCCATCCTCATCATACTCGCCCTCCTTCTACTTGTTTGTCAATGTAGTTGATTACAATAACAACACATTCTAAACATCCCATGGATCAAATACTATACCTCAACCCTGGAAGTTTATACGAGGATGTAAAGGAACTATTAGCGGAGCCGACCTCATTTGAGTAGAGCACATGTTATCATTGTTTTCATCTAAAGCAGCACATTTTAAGCCTGAAAAGATCTTCTTCTGTGGATCTAAATGCTAACTGATTTGGATATTCAATTTAGAGATCAACTTTGTCTGTAAGTTGAATATAATATGTGGGGCAGTCCAATACATCTGGATCAGTTAGATTTTAGATTCATAGAAGTCGATCTTTTCAGGTTTATAATGTGTTGTTTTAGCCCAGACATGCGACAGGATCCTCTACTCCATTTGGAGATATATCTTTTGGTACCTTAATGCGGGCTTAACCAAAAGGAATATCTCCAAAAGGTATAGACGGATCCTGTCGTTTGCCTGGTTTTTTTTTTTTTTTTTTTTTTGGTTATTAAAAATAAGCTCTCATGTCCGCTTCATTATTATTACTGTTGTTGTTATTATTAATATTATAGTTGTAGTAGTAGCAGTAGCAGTTCAAAGTGTAAATTATTTCAATGTAAATAATAAATCTTTCTGCATTTTATTCATTTTTTTCTTTTGGGTTGTTTTTGATAATGGTTAAATAAACTAGCAAATCCGAGTACTATTAGACTACAATCAATGGACGTTATGTAATTTGGGATCTTAATAGTTTCGTGTTACATGATAATTTAATAGAAAAATTCAAGCACATTAAGACTTTTTTTCAAGGAAATATAAGATATAAAAAAACGCAGATTAAGACCAAATTCTACACATATTACTATGTCCGGAAAAAAACATCAAGACTCACGTATTTTCTAATGCACATTATGTTACTGTATTGCGCTTGTTAAGTTTTTTTGTATTTGCCACGGACTATAGTTTTAATACATAATGCAACGCACATTTTGTTGTCGTATTACGCATCGTGAGCGTACGTATTGCATTTTAAATATATTCTTTTTTTCTTGATGTTTGTTTTTAATTTTCAGGAATTGTTGTTTAATATTTTTCATATAATTAAATTAATGGATGAGCCCATTGGTGAAATGGTAAAAGTCTTTGATCATATTGATTTTACTTAGGATCGAACCCCCTTAAAGACTTTATTTTTTTTTATTATATTTTATTTCTTTTTTGTTTAATAAAATATAATAAACGCATCTTAAAGTGATATTTCGCGCACTTTAATTGGTTTCCCGACGCACTTTAAACTTTTGGCTTTTAAAAATCTATTATTTCGATGCAATTTAATTAAATGTATATTTACACGCATATTGTTCTTGTAATTCGCGCATGTAACAGAGCAAAGCAAAGCACATTAAGTCTTTTATACCAATCCGTCTTTACGTAATATTCAAAGATATTTTATATCAGAACTTTAAGGCATTTGTAGTTGGGGAAACAGATAACATTGAATGGTCATTCAATGCTTTAAAAAACGCACCCATTAAACGAAATCTTAAAAAATCTAATGTGTCTGTAAATCACGCAACATTGAAATCTCAAATCAGTGCATGGGACCAAGTTATTCGCCTATAAATTAGAAAGAACAAAACACAATTGAGCATCAGGTTATTGAAATGGCTATCTCTCACGTTTCTGCACGTACAGAAGAACCATGTCCTTTTCATTTTCCTCGCCCTCTAGCTTGTAGTGATTGTAACTAACTACAAAAACAACACGTTCTAAACCTAAAACATCATTCGTCAATTTCAGCTGCAAGCTCATCATGCTGCAACCAAACATCATCCAAGGCTAAGAGTTGAGCATTGTGGCAGGCTGGCAGCGTGTTGGATGCTGCCGGAACCAAAAGAGATGTCTTCAAAGTACTAGAAGAAATAAATATGTGCAATCGATTATGTATGTGCCATTTTATCTGCAAATTATTTCATAATCAAACAAACGCACTTTAAGTTTTGCAATCCAATGGTTTCTAGCCTCAAACATAGTTGTAAACCAATTGTGTTCGACTAAGTTGTACTTTTCCATGAGCTCTCTCCACTGTTTCTCAAAATCAGGAGGTTCTAAAGATGACGTCCAAACGATTGAGTTCAATTTGTTCTTAAACTCCTCATTCTTGTTCAACGTAGGACCCACCTTTTCCCCAACTTTACACATAATGTGCCACATGCAATAACGATGCCTGGCTTGCTTGAAAACTCTTGGAATCGCAACTTTCATAGCTGGATCTTGATCAGTGACAATTATTCTTGGTTCCATACCCATTGCCTTTTTAAATTTTTCAAAGAGCCAAACATAAGACTCAATGTATTCTTTCAACAATAGTCCAGCGCCAAATGTTATACATTTTTTATGGTTATCAACTCCGGCGAAGGGTGTAAAAACCAGATCGTACCTACAAGACAAAAACCGTCATCACAGTATACAGGTGTCAAACTGGCGCACTTAGAGCATTAGAGTGACGCACATTAAGTCTTAAAATCGCAAACATATGTACTTGAAGTCTAATTCTGGATGTTCCGCATTAATATGCGCGACATTAGTGTTTAAGATGCGTGGTATAAAGCGACAATGTGCGCTTATTTATATTACAATTATTTTCAAGTAAACAGTGAACATGTATAAATCTTAACGTGGCTCAACATACCAGGCAATGCTTCATGTGAATTAATTAAACGTACGCAAGAATGTGAATAGAATAATACCTGTTGGTTGAATATGTGGCATCAAAAGAGACAACATCTCCAAATGCAACAAAATTCTTTTTTGACATTGGATCTGCCCAAAATAGTCTACTCATCTGCTCATCTTCATCAACTTCGTAGTCAAAAGCAAATGCAGGGCACATCTCTTGTTTTTTAATAAGATTATGCACGAGTATTTGTGCATCAGCACCCAATATGTATGCTCTGAGATCCCTTCTGATATTTTTAAAGTCAACTGCGGTTGCCCCAACTTCAGAGTAATCCCCCACAATCTGACTGTATAAACCGTGTGATTTTGATGTTCCAATATTTTCTTTAGCACAATCTAGTATAAACTTCTGATGAACACTGGAGATGTTTCTATTTCCCTTTAGGAACTGCCTTGCAAGAACCGAAAACATGCTGTGATTATGTTTTTCAATAAATGTCGCAACCTGGTACCCAGCTACTCCAATGTACTTAAAAATAATCCTAGCTCTGCAACCAGTTCTGTTTGAAACCCTCCGCCGCTTTGGACGCGAAGGACCTTCCCCCGCATCTGCATTTGATTTTGAGTGACAATGTTGAGCACCCGTATTCTTAAATCCCTCTCTATTGCAAACGATTTGCTTTAGAGTTTTCGTCCCGTCGCGTGCTCTAACGAGGGAACTAGACCTCGTGTCAAACCCGACTTTGGCAGCATAATTGTTGTAGAATTCAATACCAGCATCCAATGTTTTAAAAATCATGTCAACTGCTGGTTTGATTTCATCTTCACAGTGCGGAGTCCAATACTGTGTCATTCCAGGAGATATGGTCAATGTATAACAATTGCTGCTGCTGCTGGGACTCAAACTGGGGTTGTTCAGAGATTGCAAGTCACTGGGAACTGTAACATATAAGCATGAAGTTATTATTGCGTTGTTGTAAGCCTCTACGTGCGTAGTGTGAATGCTTAATATGCGTTAAAGTAATCAGATCATTGTCAATATGTCAGGTTTATAAAATACAAGAGCATGTGCGGCAAGTGAGCACTTAACGTGCGCCAGGGTAATAGTTAACGTGCGTATGTTGAGCAGTTAACATGCCTAAGTGTTTTTTAAAACTTATGGTCATTAGTTAACGTGCGTCAGTGAGTCCATTAACATTAACATGCGTTTGGAAAGCACTGAACGTGAGTATGGTCTTGACACCAGATTTTATTGCGCACAGATGCATATTATGTGTTCGATGAATTGCTTAAATGCGAATTTGGTTAGGCGATGGGGTGGTTGATGTCGGTTTCAGGAGCTTCCAATACAGTACTTGAAGCCGTGGTTCCTTAATCCAGAATATCCATGATCCAACTGCTTGGCAAGGTCAATTCAATTTTGTCAAATCATTTTTTTTATTGTTAATTCAATTTTTAAAAATGATGGCTTTTGAATGACTTCAGTGCATCTTTTTTGGGTTACTGGCTCTGTTTTGTTGTTCTGAATTTATTTTGCCCGATACTGACCAGGTTCCTGCTCAATCAGCTAGTCAGCAAACCGCAGAGGATATGACATTATTGGCTTAGGATACCTTTAGTTGGGGGGTTTTTTTTTTAATCAAATTTGTGTGTGTATATTTGTTATTGTTTTCATTTTTATTTTTAAGAGTTATTTTCAACAGTAGGTGTAGTCACTAGGGCCATGATTGATGAGATTGTCACATAGGGTAGACACCATTTATCATCTGTTTCCTAAGAGCTGTTCTGTGTGGATCTTTTTGCAGCCATGGATGATTGTAGTGTGCACTGCTCCTGAATTTCATTTCTCATGGTTTTGGTGTGGGACGGTTAAACCTTGATTTTTCATAATTCTAACTTTGATATGTTATAGTAGAGTTTCCTTTGGAAATCTCTTTGAGGAGAAGGGTTATAGTACACCCTTTTGGCTCCTCAAATTTTTCATTTTTGTTCTTTTGTAGTGGCAGAAGTTGATAAGCCCCACCCAACTTTTCTAAACGAATATTAATGATTTTATGTAGACCTCAGCTTTTGCCCTTTGAAATCTTAAGTATCATCCTGAAATCGATACTTTATTTTCCTACAAATAAGAACACTTGTGAACTTCTCGGCATATTCTCTTGAATCCAGTAGCCTTAAATCCCAAAAGCATCATTAGCTCTGCTATACTATGAGTTTCAGACTTTATGAATTATCACATTGCATATCCCATTAGGTTCATTTGCCTGTCTGTTTCAGACTCGCGTCATATATATATTCTCTTCAGTTCTTACTTCTGTTTAGGTTATGTTCTGCAGTGCGCTATGGGTTTTGAGTATTTGCTCAGGTACTTGCATATGGGAGTGGTAATTTCTGGGTGCAGGTTTGGTGTTCAGCTTGTGCATCTGGATGGTTTTTTTTTTTTCTTTTATGTGTGTGCGCTTTGGATTTTGGGTTTGTGTTTAGGTTCTTGCTATCAGTTTTATGATGCCGTGCAGTTGAATTCTTTATGTTATGGTGTTTTTTTTTTTTTTTTTTTTTTTTTTTTTTTTTTTTTTTTTTGCTTCTGTGCATTAATTTTTCCATTCCCAGGTGACGTTGCTGTTGAGTCGGTAGTTGCCGTAGATGTGGTGGCACCTTTGCCACAGACCGATGCAATTGAATCACCCCATCAGTCCGCAAAACCAGCCCCTAATTCGGATGGCTCAGATGATGAGCCCAATGCAGTTGATGAGGCACTATTCCCCCCTAAAGATTCACATTATGCCCCCAATGCAGTTGTATGTGCATAGAGGGTAATCGGTTGGTGCGTAGTACTATTTCTGTTTGAATGTATGTTCTGGTATGTCCATAAAGGGACATTAGTAGGTGAATCATGCTTACTTGGTGGGTAGGGCACGATGATGGGGTTATAACGTTATTGGCTTTGTTTTTTATTCGAAACGTGTTTTTCTTTCAGTGAGTATCCCTTTTGGACAGTTTTTAAATTAATTTGCATTTTTAATTATGCGGTGTGCATAGTTGTAGGTAGGTGAATGCAGTATACTGTAAACAAGTTTTAGATGCCTCAGTATATGTATGTAGTGCTGAATAATAGGTGATTGTATTCAGTGCGTACTAGTGTGGTGGCGTGTGCATCTTTATCTAAAAACAAGGGTGTTGTTGCAACAGTGGTTATATGTATTATTTGTTTCCCGGGGGTCGTGATCTAAGTTTGTAGAGGTCCGTGCGTTTACGAATTATGGCATGTGCGTAGTTACATTGTTGTATAATATGTTGCGTGTGCGCATTCGTGTTCTGGTATGTGAATGGGTAATGCACCTGCCACATAAATATGATTTAACATTATTTAAAGTTGTTAACAAAATTCATGTGATTGCACACGTTTAAAAGCAACCACGCTCAGACCTCTATTCTATTAACAGAAGCACACAAACAACCAACAACTACCATTTTTTTCCTAGTCTGTGTCGTTTCACACTGTCAAACATCTGTACCACATGCACACATACACATCCCATTACATTTAGGTTGTCCAACCAAATAACCCCCCCCCCCCCCCTCCCCCCCCCCCCCAAAAAAAAAAAAAAAAAAAAAAAAAAAAAAAACCAATAACCTCAACATATGCACACGCTATGCACATACTCATGTTCGTATACGCACCCGCTAGCAAGACGCACTAGACTCAACTACCATTTTTTCCCAGTCTGTGCCGTTTCACACTTTTAAACATCTGTACCACACACACACACATCCCATTACATTTAGGTTATCCAACCAAACAAACCAAAAAAAAAACAATATCCTCAACATATGCACATGCTAAGCACATACTCATGTTCATATACGCACCCGCCAGCAAGAAACTCTAGACTCAACTACTAATTTTTTCCAAGTGTTTGTCGTTTCACACTTTCAAATATCTGTAACACACACACACACACACACGCATCCCATTACATTTAGGTCATCCAACCAAACAAACCCAAAGAAAAAATAAAACACATGAATATCCTCAACATATGCACACGCTATGCACATACTCATGTTCGTATACGCACCAGCCAGCAAAACTAGCTTTTCACCCCAGTGCCTTCTTCACGCAATTTTTATAAGCAACAGAGGTTATAGAATAATTTTAAATATCAATAATTTCAATTCATAATTTCAATTCATAATCTCCCTAATATAATGTTGAAGATTCCAATTCAATTATATCCATAATTAAACAAATAACTACAATTACTATTTAATCCTTTTGATTTCAATCTATCCTTAATTACTTTAAGAATCTCTTATAATCTCAACCATTCATGAAAAATGAATGAATGTTTATCATGAGATCTCATTATCTCATGTATCATAGGGGTTGCACCGGATTCGAAGCCTATATATATATATATATATATATATATATATATATATATATATATATATATATATATATATATATATATATATAATAAAGTTCAAATGCAGCGGGGTCTTCCCGTGCGGCGGAATTCCAGAATACACCAACAGTGTTAACAATATGCACCAACAGTGTAAGAAAAATACACCACAATGAAATGCAATAAAACATCACAAAATACACAACAGACGCAAAAAAATACACCACAATGAAATGCAATAAAACATCACAAAATACACAACAGACGCAAAAAAATACACCATATAACTCACCACCCCCAATGGTGTATTTCCGAACAGTGTATGGTGTTTTTGCTCACACCTAATGGTGTGTGTTTGGTGATGCGGGGCTCTGTTTACTCTGTTTTTTGTGGTGTATTTTCCTAACGTTGATGGTGCATATTTGTTGAACTATTGGTGATGTCGCACCGTAAGAGATCGCCGCACCGTAAGAGATCGCCAAACCATGCAGCAATACACTCCGATCAGATTTCGATCGTCAAAAAATCGTTGGAAATCAAATTCATGGGCTATCCGATGCATAACCACTACTTCGATACTGACAGGTTTAGAACCCAACCAGAGCTTATTGCTACATGGTTTGGCGCTCCTAAATGAGGAGGAAGGAGAAAACTTGTAAAATTACAACTTTATTTCCACTTTTGACAGTCAAATTGACAAAGGACTAAATTGGGTAAAAATTGTATAGTTGAGGACTTAATTGGGTAAGAATGATAGTCGAAGACCAAATTGGTAATTACGACATAGTCGAGAGACTATTTTGGGTATTAACTCTTAATTAAATTACAAAAGTAGTATTAAAAAAAGTCCAGAGTAGCAGGGTAAAACTCTAGTTTGAGGGATGAAAATAGAATCACTCATTCAATAATTAATGTGATGATTTCAAATTCTAATATTCCACTTCCAAAGGAAAAGGAAAAGGAAAAAAAAAAAAGTGGGAGCATATGGGGATTGTCTTTGCAACGTGTTCATCATTTCCTTGGGGCAAGATGGAAGAAGATGATGAGACAACCGAACAAGTGGACGCCATTTTTATGGAGTCTCCAACCTCTACATTTCTACGCACTGCTATGCCTTCATCATTATATCTATATATATAAAAGCATCATGTAATCATAAACCAGAAGACAAATCTTTACAAGTTGTTTCCATTTACGGAAAAAATTAAAATTTATCTTTTCAAACAACAAAATCTATAACCCTTATATACCTATCCAACCCCTACGCAGAAACACCCATTTCAATCCTCCCGTGGTTCTTCGCATTTAAATCCATGAATGCTTATGCCAAAGTGAATCTTTCTTGGAGACCCGGCGAAAGCCCACATTTTTCTTGTGGATTTTGGGAAGAAATTTCCGGACACGTATATGCATGAAGATTTCTCGTACGTATTGCATTGTTAATATTCCTATTTCATGAGGTGGAATTGGGCTTGAGAAAGAGATGTGGGTTGTTTCCGAGCACTTTTAGGGGGTTTCTGTAGGTGATCTTGCAGGATCTTAATTAGTCGGAAAAATGTCGCTACTTCGCAAGTTTTTCTATAAGAAGCCACCTGAAGGGCTTCTGGAAATATCTGAGAGGGTATTTGGTATGTTTCCTTTCTCCAATTCTGTTTAAGCTTCAATTCTTTATGGTTAAATGTTTTTATTTTGATTTTTGCATTTGGATTTATATTTATATTTGGCCTTTTAAAGCAATTGATTGATGTTCTTTCATATGTTGGCTATTTAGTCTAATAAAGTTTTGTGGGTAAAGGGGTTTTTGTTTGTTGTTTTAAATCTTTAGCCTGCCTCTTTGAAGTAATTGGCATTCTTTTATATATTTAAATGTTATTGTTAGGGTACTTAGTTTGAATGCTTGATATGATTGCTTAATATGAATGCTTCTCCATGTCCACCATCAAAATCAATTGTAATCTTTCTACATTTATAAAGCCGGTGCCTTAGGGTGTTGAATGTTTCTTTGGAATATCTTTAATTCTTCCCCCAAAAAGGTTGAATCCCTAACCCAGGACCCCCAAACCCATAGTCCGACAAAATATTTGGGAGGATGTAAATTACGACGACAGTGGCTCAATAGACAGGGTCGTGTAACTTTGAGTGTAATCCCCACACTGCTACTGCCGAGTTTCTGAATATAATACATTTAATTGTTCATACAAATGGATAATATTTATTGTTGTTATGTGATTGGAATATGTAGAGTGTGTGAATTGAAGCTGATGCTTTGCTGTTACTTTTAACTATGCAGTCTTCGATTGCTGCTTTTCAACTGATATGGTTAAAGAAACTGAGTACAAATCCTACATGGGTGGCGTTGTGGGTAAACTGTGTGATCATTTCCCCGATGCCTCAATCATGGTGTTTAATTTTAAGGAGGGTGATAACCAAAGCCCATTGGAGACCATACTGAATGATTATGAGATGACTGTGGTCAACTATCCTCGACAGTATGAAAACTGCCCTGTACTCACGATGGAGATGATTCATCATTTTGTAAAGTCAACTGAAAGCTGGCTTTCAATTGGTACGACCAATATGCTTTTAATGCATTGTGAGCATGGTGGATGGCCATTGCTGTCCTTCATGCTAGCTGCATTCTTGATATACAGGAAGCAGTTCAACGGAGAACAGAAAACCTTAGACATGATGTACAAGCAAGGACCTCGTGAGCTTCTTCACTTAATGACACCCCTAAATCCATTGCCTTCGCAATTGAGGTATCTACAGTATGTTTCAAGAAAGAAGGTGGAACCTCAGTGGCCACCAGCTGATAAGGCACTTACTCTAGATTGTGTTATCCTAAGACTTATTCCTAATATTGACGGTAAAGGAGGATGCCGTCCAATATTCAGAATATATGGTCAAGATCCCTTCAAGCCTGCAAATAGGACATCTAAACTGCTCTTCTCTACAGGCAAAAACAGCAAAAGTTTGAAGCACCGTAAGCAGGTGATTTAATTGTCTCTTTGCTAGTTTGTTTAGTCTTCTTTTTTTTTAATAAAAAAAAAAGTAAACTTTTCACTAATATGAGAGCATGCATTTACCCTATATTTATTTCTGGTATTTCTGAGTTCCACAAAAACTACCATATATACTTACTCGTTTGGTTCGCGGAAAATATTTTAAGGGAAGTGGAATTGGGATTCCATGGAAAAACAATTACTAGGAAAATGAATTTCATTGTTTGGTTGGTGGAAAAAGAATTACTGGGAATACTAATTCTATTGTTTGGTTAGATTTGGAATTGTAAGGAATAATGGGTATAAAGACCTATATGCCCCCTACAAATTAATAAGAGTAATATAATTAAAAAAGAAAGTAAGGGTAAAATAGGCATTCCATCTCAACTTTTCTTCCCATCTTCCATGGAAAACAAAATCCTTGGTCCAACCAAGGATTTTGTTTTCCTCAAATTTGAGGAATTCATTTTCCAATGGAAAATGAATTCCATGAACCAAACACAAGAAAACAACATTTTCTTCTACTTTAAGGAAAATGTTTTCCATTTTCCATGAACCAAACATCCCTAATGTATGGTGGACTTATCACAAATTCACAACTGTGATTGCATAGAACATTATGTGGACGAATCAAATTTAGCAATTTTACATATTGTAAATTTATATTCAAGAAAAGTGCTTTTTATGCATATTACATTTTGTGTATGGGTTACTTGTTAAAGACAAATATGATCTCCTATAATCATTTGCTTCAGTTTCTGATGTATTCTTTTGGGAAATGTCATATGTCCTACAGTCTGCCTGTGAGCTTGTTAAAATCGATATTGATTGTCACGTATTGGGCGATGTTGTGCTTGAGTGTATCACCCTGGATGATGATCTTGAACGTGAACAAATGATGTTTCGTGTCATGTTCAACACTTCGTTTATTAGATCAAATGTTTTGATGCTTAATCGAGATGAAATTGACATCCTCTGGAATGTCAAGGATCAATTCCCCAAGGACTTCAGAGCAGAGGTATTTCATCTGTCCTAATTTTTATGCTGTAGCTTTTTGTTTGTGATAGTTAACATTTCCCTTTTGCTTAAGTGAAGATTCTGTTCTCGGAGATGGATTCGAGTGCTTCCAACCCTAAAGCACGTGCATTGCCTAGTCCTGAAGAGAAAGGTCTCCCTGTTGAAGCATTTGATAAATGTAAGGAATTGTTTAGTGATGTGGATTGGCCAGAATCAAGGGATGAGAATCAAAAGTCAACCAGAGCCACTAATACTGTACAAGAAAAGTCGGAAACTTCTAAGGAGAAGCCTGTGAAGACCTCTGATCAAATTCTCAAAAATGAAAAAATGGGGACTGAGAACAACATCACTGAAAAGGTTAAAGGCAATATAGGTGGACCATCAGAGGCAAATCATGAAAGAGTCACCAAGAAACCAGATTCAACGCAACTGGGCAATGATAGCAGAGAAGTAGAGCAAACTACGTCGTCTTCAAACTTAACATCTCAAGGTTCAGCACCTCCACCAGCAACCCCACATGTATCCTCTGTTCATTCTGCCTCAATTGTTCGATCTCGTCCCATTAGAAATTCAGCTTCCCTAAATGCTTCTCAGTCAGAGTCTCTGTCATGTTCAGGGTCAGGCACTAACCCTCCACCACCTCCTCCATGCTCAGAATCAAGTTCAAGTCCACAACAACCCCCTCCATGCTTAGAATCAAAGTCAACTCCACTGGCACCTCCAAGTGTAAATTCAATGCCAACCCCTCCACCACCTCCAGGAGTAGAATCAACGCCAATCCCACCGCCACCTGCAAATGCCAGCCCTCCGCCACCACCTGCTCCATCCTCGGGGTCAGCATCGGCCCCTCCTCCACCACCTCCATCTTCAGATATGGGTTCCAATGATAACGCTATGTCTTCAGCTCCAGCTGCAGCACCAACTCGTCCTCCACCCTTGGGTTGCTTATCAAGGTCCCCTGCTGTCTCTATGCAATCTAATTCTTCTTCTAAAGGAAGTATCCCTCCTCCTCCTGGTGCTGTAGGAAATATCCCTCCTCCTCCTGGTGCTGTCGGAAATATCCCTCCTCCTCCTGGTGCTGTAGGAAATATCCCTCCTCCTCCTGGTGCTAAAAGTATCCCTCCTCCTCCTGGGGCTGCCGGAAATATCCCTCCTCCTCCTGGGGCTGCAGGAAATATTCCTCCTCCTCCTGGTGGTAAAGGAAGTATCCCTCCTCCTCCTGGTGGTAAAGGAGGTATCCCTCCTCCTCCTGGTGCTGCTGCTGCTCAAGGAGGTAACCCTCCTCCTCCTCCTGGTGCCAAGGGAAAATTGCCAGCCAAAAGTGTCAGGTCATCGCCTCAAACCAAAAGGACACCCTTGAAACCATACCACTGGTTGAAATTAACAAGGGTTACTCAAGGAAGCCTATGGGCTGAAACACAGAAACCTGAGGAAGCTGCCCAGTACTGACAACATTTCTCTGTTTCCTTTTTTCCTTCTCTTGTCCTCTCCTCTAAAAATTAACCCATTCACTTGCTTTATCTTGTCTCTGCCAGAGCTCCTGAATTCAACATGTCTGAACTTGAGGTTCTCTTCTCAGCAACTGTCCCAGATGCAGGTCGCAGAAATGGAGGTGGAAAATCAGGTCAAGCTGCAGGAGCTAAGTCTGAAAAAGTGCATTTAGTAAGTAACCAAGAAGTCTTAACCTTCTATTTCCAAGTGCTTCTGTGTATGTATTTTTCTATGAGCAGTTACTTATTATATAGAGATTCTCTATTCATTCATTGTGGATTCTGATGTCAGATTTCTTTTCATTGTTATTTACAAAGTTTGACATACACCTGAAGCTTCATTTGGGAACTATCTTGCATTAGGATATCAAGATTACTTGTGCTGCTTGAGCACAGATAATTAGATGCACAACCATATAAAGAAATGATGTATCCCGTGTCTGTAATCTCCTAAATAACTCATCTGGAATTCCAAAAATCATATCTTTACTTTAAACGTTTTAGTTAAGTAAAATAAGAATTTTATATTGATCTTTGTCTTTGCTTTGGAGGTCAGCAATATTTGGAATTGCTCTGTGGATTATATCTTATTATCTGAAGGGAATACGTTATATTGTAATTCAGGCTTTTACCATATACGTATTGTTTGTAAAAAGAAAATAAATTTTGTAAAGCAGCTAACCTTTATTGATATCTGACCACATTTGCACTGTTTCATGCAGATTGACCTCAGAAGGGCATATAATTGTGAGATTATGCTTACAAAAGTTAAGATTCCTTTGCCAGATTTAATGGTCAGCTTCCTAAGAATTGACTATATATTATTCATTTAACTTACCTGTCTTTCTGTTTTTTCAGTTAGGGACATGCTAAAGTTATACAGAGTATATCTGTTGTCTATGACTCTATGATCCTGCATAGATACTCTAAGAGTTAATTTCTCCATCTGCTGTTTGCCAACAGAGTTCAGTTCTAGCTCTGGATGATTCTGCATTGGACATTGACCAGGTTGAGAATCTTATAAAATTTTGTCCTACAAAGGAAGAAATGGAACTTCTAAAGGTCTAAGTTTATTTTCAATTTACTCCCCCTATTAGTATCATGCTGTTACTTTCAATACAAGCGGTGCTATTAGAGTTGATCATCTCATTCTTGTACTTCCATTTCCAGAATTTCAAGGGAGAGAAGGAAAACCTTGGAAAATGCGAACAGGCAAGTGGTGTTTGACTTTTGTTTTCTTTATCCTTTTTCTCCACTGCCTGTTTGACAATAAAACTCATAACTCAACATATTGCTCCTTTTGAATTTGTTACCTTATATTGTCTTATTCTTTTTTGGGAACTTCTGAAACGCCATTTTGGGTTGGGAAATGGAATTGTCAAACATAGAATAGTCAGTTATAATATTCTGTAACTGATAATCCTGAAAGGCAAATTGTTTATTGATAGAGGCAGGTACTTAACATCGAAACTATTTGTGACAGTTTTTCCTAGAGCTGATGAAAGTTCCCCGAGTAGAATCCAAGCTAAGAGTTTTCTCATTTAAAATACAATTCTGCTGCCAGGTTGGAAGAAACTATGGTTACTAAATGTTTTCTTTTCGTTTTCAGTTTCCATTTTCTGGATTTGCTAATCAAATTTTGTTTTCCAGGTTTCTGAGTTAACACATAATTTGAATATTGTGAACTCTGCATCAGAAGAGGTAGGCTATTATGTCTTTCTGAATCCTCCTATTGCTTGTGTAAGAAACTCCCTCCCAGTTCTTGCTTCTTCTTTTATCAGGTCAGAGGTTCTATCAAGTTGAGAAGAATCATGCAAACCATTCTTTCACTGGGTAATGCTTTGAATCAGGGAACTGCAAGGGGTGAGTCAAGATTAACCGATTTATATGCACCACGTATCCAGAATTCATAAAAGCTCACCACGTTGTTCCTTTGCTATCACTAGTCAACTGGTTCATTCTGCAATTTGTTTTGTATCGACACACTTTTGATCCAAATAATCTATTGCTACTACGGAGTATTATTAATATTGCCAGTATCTTTGCTCTGCAAGTTAATTTGCTCCTTGCATTGGTTAGTAACGATGATCTATGGTTTTCTGCCTCAGGTTCTGCTGTTGGATTCCGGTTGGATAGTCTTCTGAAACTTACTGACACGCGCTCCCGTAACAACAAGATGAATCTTATGCACTATCTTTGTAAGGTATGGATAATTTATCTTTCAGCAAGTTGACACATTTCCTGCAAGATAGTTAATAGCATGTAAATGAGATGCTAATTAAGAAAAAAAATTTATATTTTATTTATGGCCCATAGGCATACTTGTTCCGTAATCTCTTGTTGTTCAAATTTGAAATTTCAATACTTATTTACCCATTTAACTACTTCTAGGTTCTTGCTGAAAGGCTCCCAGAACTATTGACTTTTTACCAAGACCTTGCACATTTAGAGGCTGCAACAAAGGCACACAATTTTTTGTTTTGAGTACTTTTGACAACCTTAACCAACTTAACATTTTTGCTTCACTAAGTTAGTGTGGTCAAATGATTCTGCTATTCAGATACAATTAAAGATTTTGGCTGAGGAAATGCAAGCAATCAGCAAGGGGCTGGAGAAAGTTGTACAGGAATTGGCTGCCTCAGAAAATGATGGTCCCGTGTCAGATTATTTCTGCAAGGTATGCTCTGGGCTTGTGTTATTAAGATGATATTTGTCCTCATTTATCTAGATAATAATCGAGCATCAATAATTATGTTTCAACCTTGGTCAACATTACAACTCTTAAAGCAAGAAGTTTGACTCTTTCTTGTTTCATTTAAATACAATTGAAAGAATTCTACTAAGAGAGCACTAAAGGGACATTTTATGCTTTGATTGGTTGGTATTTAATGAAATATGCTGTTATATATAAGATACAACCATACAATTCAGTGTTCATAAGATAGTGTTCCTTAAGTATGTTTTTCTCCACCAACATCCATTTTTACTTATCGGTGTGCTCAAATGTGCAGAGCTTAAAGATGTTTCTGAAGTATGCTGAAAAGGATGTGAAATCCGTGTCGTCTTTATACTCCGAAGTGGTAATGTCATTGATGACTATTGTCTTGGAATTATTTTGCTTTGATTGTTTACTAGATTTTTTTTTATGTGTTGATAGGGAAGAAACTGTGATGCTTTGCCGACCTATTTTGGGGAAGATCCTGCTCGGTGCCCATTTGAACAAGGTACTCCAATCTTGTCATCATTGTTCGTCACAAAATACTAGGGTTTAGAACAATAACGTATAGGAATCACGATTTTGATGATAATTCCGTTCCCCTGCAGCTGTGGCAACTTTGCTCAATTTTACGAGGATGTTTAGAAAAGCTCACGAGGAGAACGTGAAGCAAGCAGAATTTGAGAGGAAGAAGGCCCTAAAAGAAGCAGAACTCGAGAAACAAGCAGCTGCAGCTGCAGCACAAGCAAATACTGCTGCCGCTGCAGTGGGTTCCTAGGAAACGAGAAGATACAAGTGCTTCAGATGATCCAGAACAGTTCCACATGCTAGTCTTCTCGTAAAAAACCTAGTTCTTACCCAGATTCAGCACGTGCTTCAGGTACTTCTCTCGTTTACTCTCAATAATCCCGCTTCCAAATGGATAACCTTTTGCCCCTCATCATGCCCACAAAACAGGATTTCTTTGGCGAAAGAAATATTCATCCACGTGGTTGCTGCCAAGGACACCAAGCAGTAACCGAGAACGATGGAATATTTGACATATAAAGACCATATCTTGATTCAAAACTTGCCAAACCCATGCCTAGTTTGCTGATAATTGATTGCTGCATCTATGGAGGGATCGACCGCCGTTTTAGTTGGTCATTTAATTGGAGGAAACAGTAGGGTTCATTGTAAATATATCCATCCACAATGTAGATTGTAGGTTTGTAAATAATCCAAGCATTACTTGTGTAAATACTAATCAGTGTAAGAGCATGCAAATGTTAGTCCACATGTGAAGAAGCATTGTACCCCTGTGGCAATAGGAGTGTAGAAAGCAGCAAATAGTTATTGGGTACATCATGGTGTAATATTCAGATGATAGATTATAAAAGTATGCAATACAATAATGTCAAAGTTTCACTTTGAACATTATTGTATTATCATCTGAAAAATAAATAAACATTGGCATAGCGCTGAAATTTTGGCCATGTATGTAATGTAATAATGTAAATATGTAATATGTATGAAGCCTAAATTTATTGATAATAATAACATATATTAGTTTTAGGTACTTCACTCTCTCACTTGTTTGGATTGTTCATAGCTAAGCAATTATAAATATGTTATCCCTACCAAAAAAAAAAAAAAAAAAAAGAATAAAAAAATTATAAATATGTTATAATTTGTCTTCTTTGAGTAGAGATGACAATGTGAGTTAGGCTCACATGGGCTAACCTAGTCTAAATATTATTATGTCTAGACTAGACCAGTGTTGAGCGACCTTACATATAAGGGCTAGGTCAGGCTATCCCACCAGTGTCTTTTTTTTTTTTTTTTTTTTTTTGTCCTAACCTAGCCCTTATATTCCTAACCTAGCTCGGGGAGTTATGTCGTTATTAGTTATTCTTTTAGTTGGAATATAATTGGAACCATATATTGATTGTTTAATATGCTCAACTAATAGTGGAGAATTATATCTTTAGTTGGTCAAATCAATGAGTACGTATATCATTAATTTCGCTGAAGAATATCTTAATCAGTGGGAGTGATCATTTAGAAAAGGATCGATCATTAAGATACTCCACTAAAGAATTTGGATTTAATTGGCTTCATACATCTCAAATTGGATTATTTGTCAAACAAATAAGTCCAAAAGATTCCACAAGCATTAATCTTGTATTTGTTTATATAAATTCATATTGGTTGTGCAACATATTTATGAAAATGTTGTAACAATATTAAGGAGTTTATTATAACAAAGCATTTAACTTGTGGTGCACTGTTATTTAATAAATTCTTTAGCATTTAATAGAGTCTTTAGTTTCTCCAAAATTGATCCTGGGCCATTTTGGTTTGTAGGACTCAAAAACAATTTTACGAAACATAAAAGTAAAACTCATAATGTTCAGTTCATTTTGAAGTGGACATTGAGATTAATTGGGAGGTTAATGGTGTATGTTTAACATTCCAAATTTATGGACTTAGAGTTTTGGTTTGTTGTCTAAGTTATTGGAATGCTTCTATGACTAAACTATCTTTTGGCCATTTTGATGAGTAGGAGTAACAGACGTGTCAACTCCGAGCTCTTAGCCGTTAGAGGTAGTGCTTAAGTTAAATTATAAACAAGTCATGGAATATAGTTAGCATTATGCTAACATTAAGAGATCTCTACTTAAGGTTTTGTCTTTGATCCATTCTGCTAACATTAAGATCCATTCTTAGAGATCATACAGTGTACTCTTTTGTACAATTTGGATGGTTTTCTCTCTTAAGTTGCGCATATATATTTTATTTTGAGAAACATCCCTTAAGGTACCAAGAATAAACGTTGGGTTTGTTCATAAAGGATTCAAGTTGGGGAATCAGAATGCATGTGATCATAGAAGATGTTACTCACTTTTTCAGTAGAGGACATATTACTATGATTCTTGTGTTTTGTCTTTGATGAGAGTTTGCTAGTACTTGCACCAAGTGGGAGACTATAAGATTTTCCGTATAATATATATTATATATTATATATTATAGGCCTTAATTATGTAGTGCAAGTGGATTAGGCTCATTAAGTACTTGGTTGGACTGGACATTAGATTTAAGTCTGTAGTCCACCAATATGTCTATATAAAGCCTGTATTTATGTGTAACACCCCACTTTTCTTAAACTTCTTTAACAGAGTTAACCTTGAAAGATATGCTAAGGCAACGGAATAAACTTACTAAACAACTTAATAGAGGTGTCACCGCCACAATCACCCTTCACGGTGATTGCACAGGCTAATGAAATTGAGAAATATATGATTTCTTCCGTAGACATATTTGTGACAATTTCATTAAATTATAATTAATAAAATATAAAATATAATTAAAAAAATGAAATTATAAAATTAACAAAACATGAATATTTATAATTTTTTTAAATATACATACATATACTCTTTAAATTTCTAAATATAATTTAAATACGTATAAACCTATCAATATAAATTATAATTAATGAAATTATATTATAGGACTTTCCTATATACATATTAATAAATATTATATGTATATACAAAGTATTATACAATCATATAAGGATATGCGTCCGATTAGAATATTTATTTATTCATACAAAATTTAAAATTTACATTTTTTTTTATTGATTTCTAAGTACAATTCTCTTAGTTTTTATTATTCATATTTTTAAATTTCATATATAGATATGAAATACAATTTGGAATAAATCAACTTAATTATATGAATTTTTTCTATAAATTTATCTAAATATGTACATGATTAGAGAATATATTAACCATACAAAATTTAAATTTAAATTTTGTATGTTATGAAATAGATACTTGACTAAATATATAAAAGTCCAACTATATTATTATATTGTACATTTTAACATCTTTTTATTTTTTCTATTTTTATTTTAAATTCATAATAACAAAAATAAAATTCCGTGCAATGCATGGACAAAACACTATATTTAAAAAATACAATTTGATAAATATCATAAATTAATTAGTAAAATATCATTTATGTTTATAATAATTAAATAAAAAATAAATAATTCAACTATGTGAACCAATAATAATAATAATAATAATAATAATAATAATAATAATAATAATAATAATAATAATAATAATTGGTAATATTATTGTTCAATATAATATTAAAAAAAAACTTATTTTAATTGGTAATGTATATTCTATATTAATCTATATTTATATTCTTAATTAATTAATAGACACAAATCATCCTTTACAAGCTCCCGCCTAAACAATTAATAATAATATGAAAAAGAATGGAAGGAAGCCGTACCCCCAAACAATTAATAATAATATTGGAAAGAAAATTAATAATAATATGGAAGTATGGAAAATAATGGAAGGAAATATTATTCATGTGAATGTTTTCTACACTCTGAAAAATGAAAAAGAATCAATAAGCAGTATAAGTATAATAATTGGTAATATTATTGTTTAATTATAATAAAAACTTTAATTTTAATTGGTAATCTATATTCTATATTAATTAATAAAAACAATATCCTCATTTACAAGTTCCCGCCTAAACAATTAATAATAATATGAAAAAATAGAAATGAATGGAAGAAAGCCGTACGCCAAAACAATATAGAATAATATTGGGAAGGAAATGTATATCTATATCTATATCTATATCTATATCTATATATATATAAAAGTAAAATCCTCCTAACAAATTTTCCCCCCAAAACTTTTATAGTAAAACTTATTTGGTAAGTAAATGTCAAATAGAAATTAAATAAATAAATAATAATAGTAATAGTAATAATAATAATAATAATGTTATTACCTTAAATAAATAAATTATTATACTTTTCCTTAAATAAATAAATTATTATACTTTCCTTTTGAATTAGTATTTTCTACCTATAAATACAAGAGCTTCTTCAATCAAAGAATCTCAGACTCATCTCTCTGCTTTCTTTTTGTATGAATTTTCTACATTTTTCTAACTATATTCTCACGTACTTCAATATGTTTTGCAGTTTGGACATCATGAATAGCTTCATCAACGATATCTTCTTGAAGCTCGCCCAAGAGGTGACTCGCTTGGCCCACTACAACAAGAAGCCGATAATCACTTCCCGCGAGATCCAAACCGGCATGAGATTGGTTCTTCTTGGCGAATTGGTAAAGCACGTTGTCTCTCTAAAAACACTAAAGCAGTCACCATATTTACAAGCTCTTAGATGAAATCATTTAAATCTATGTTTCCTTTTTATATAATCTCAATTAGGGGTTAATAGATGTAAAGTAACTTGGATTTGAGTTTAATTTCATATTATTCTTCCAAAAGGTTTAATTTCATATTATAAGTATTGCTATCTACCTTCAACTATCAGTGAATCGATTAGCATTCTAAAATAAAATAAAAAATAAAAAAAATTGAATGTATGTATCTATGTGCATTTAAGATGCAACATGTGTATGATTCATTAGGCTTTGAGGCAGGAGAACACATCTGGGTACATTGCATATTAGTGGATCTGTATCTCATTGCAAAAAAATATCTATAGAATTAATTAATTAATATAATTACAATTATGATTATTCTAATTCAAAAAAAAAAAAAAACTAAAGAATTAATTGTAGTAATGAAATTTGTTATTATTATTCTGTTACTAATTGACACAAAAATCAGACCAAAAGAAAAACGAAATTGAAAGACAAATTGAAATGATTATTAAACACGTACTAAATTATTTTTGTGATTGAAAATGAATATTACAAACGTACCAGATTGTTTTTATGACTAGAAATAGGAATAAATTTTACACACGAAAATCTATTATTAATATTATGTTACTAATATGCATAGGAATCATGCCAAATGAAAAAAGGATTTAATATTAAAAATTTATTGGAAATATAACACAATTTCCCCAACAAAAAAATTAGTAACCACCAAATGAAATATTAGGAAAAAATTATGAAGGAAAAAGAAATGGAAACAAATATTAACTCTTTCTATGAATGAAAAAGGAAATGAATATATCCATATTTCACTTAAAATATAATCAGTAATTATATTATTATAATTATATTAATTATTTATGAAGGAAAAAGGAAATGAATATGAACAGAAAAAAAAATGAATTTTACACACGAGAATCTATTATTAATATTTTGTTACTAATAGACACAGGAATCAGGCCAAATGAAAAAAAGATTTAATATTAAAAATTTATTGAAAATATAACACCGCTTTCCCTACGAAAAAATTAGTAACAACCACATGAAATATTAGGAAAAAATTACGAAGGAAAAAGAAATGGAAATGAATATTAACTCTTTCTATGAGTGAAAAAAGAAATGAATATACTCATATTTCACTTAAAATATAATCAGTAATTATATGATTATAATTATTATACTTATATTAATTATTTATGAAGGAAAAATGAAATGAATATATTAATATTTTATTGAAAATATAATCAGTAATTATATTTTTATAATTATATTATTTTTTTAATCAGAAAGGAA